TGATGCAATTCCCTTACTGTATCCTCAGTCGTGAGTGAACTTTGTAAAACATGGCCACCTTGCAAGAGCTGTGCTTTGGAGAATAAAGAGTGGAACCCGAGTCCTGAGAAATCTGTGCAGCAGCATATAGATAAAATGACAAGAGAACTAGAATTGTGTCATCATTCCACAACTTGTTCTAGACATGGCCTCATGGTGCCCTCCAAACAAAGTACCATGGAAACTAGAAAGGAGACTAGAGGTCATCTCAACTACCCTCCTCTTTTTTAAAAGTTTTCTTTTTTAATTGAAATATAATTCACGTGCCATAAAATTCACCATTATAAATAACAAGAATTCAGTGGGTTTTAGCATATTCGCAAAGCTGTACAACAAATCACCACTACTGGATTCAGAACATTTCATCCATCACTCCACAAAGACACCCCATAGTCAGTAGTAGGCACTCTCCATTTCCCCTCAGCCCATTCTCGGGCAACCACTCATCTACTTTCTATCTCTCTAAATTTGTCTATTCTGGCTATCTCATTCATATAAATGAATCATACAATATGTGGTCTTTTGTGACTGGCTTTTTCGTTTAGCATAATGTTTTCAAGGTTTATCCATGTTGTAGCATGCATCAATACTTTTGTTTCTTTTTATGACTGAATAATATTGCATTGTTTGAATATACATTGAATGTATCCATCACTTGTTGGACATCTGGGTTGTTTCCACGTTGGGACTATTATGAATAATGCTGCTATGTATGAACATTCATGTATAAGATTTGTGTAGCATATGTCTTCAACTTGAACTTTCTATTTTCAAATTATTCTGCACTCACAGGAAGTTGCAAAATAGTACTGAGAAGTTCTGTGTACACTTCACCCAGTTTCTCTGGTTACATTGACTTAACTAATAACTACTAAAATTGACATCAGTATAATATGCATATATGATTCCACCCCCTCTTTTACATGAAATCAAGGTTTGGAAACTCAAAAACTTACCCAAGGTCACAGAGCAGTTAGGGTTTTTTTCACCATTGCTGACCCCCCTCTATTTAAATGGCCATGCTCACCTACCCGCTCCAAAAAAAAACCCACCTGTTTTTCAAGCTATCCTTTTCTAGCAGGTTTGTTTTACTCCTCTACTGCCAAAGTCTTGGTCTGACAGCTAGTCTGTGTATTTCCAATAAAAGGAAGAACATGAAAAGAAAAACAAAAAGATGAAAAGGATTCCTCTAATAGTTGTTTAAAAAAAATTTTTTTTTGAACAAGCTAGAGGCGGTGGTAGTACAACATTGTGAATGTACTAAGTGCCACTGAATTCTTCACTTTAAAGAGGTTCGTTTTATGTTACGTGAATTTCACCTCAATTAAAAAAAAAAGTTGTTTCTGAGCATTTCTTTGAGACTTTTTCTATTTCCCACACTTAGGATCAGCTGGCTCAGAGGCAGAATCAGAAAGAAGGCCAACTGACACATTTACTATGCACCATCTTCTGGGTGAGAGTTGAGGAAAGAAAGTGTTTTTCTGTAGTATCTGTTCAGAGAAGATTCTATTGAGATCATGTATCTTTAAGAGGATAAAAAGAACCTATTTAACATATATGCATTTTTGATGAACTTACAGAGGTATCCTGGAAATGTTTTGGTTTAACCCTGTGAAAGTACTAAAGATTACCTGGTTAAAAATGGTTTGAGGTTAAGGATAAAAGCATAAATTACATTATATATTGGGGTAAGGGGGGACTTATAGACCTGGAAAACCTAGAGATTATAACAAAAAGAATTCACAATTCCAGAATTCTCTTCCCCTTACCTCTTCAGATGATGCTGTTTAAGACATTTAGTTGTGCAGCCCTTCCTGTCTTTTCTCTGCTTGTTAAAATGTGAAGGAGGGAACTGGAGAACAGTGGAAGTCTGTAGGCCTCCTAACTCTGGCTTCCACATAACCTCTCCGGAACTCAGTTTTCTCATCTTTAAAATGAGGAGATCGGACTAGATGATCTCCATCCTTCCTGCCTCTGACCATCACTTTACTTTGAGGTCTGGCTCTTGGTCCACACAACACAATAAGGACAGGTTAGCTTAGGTAATTAGGGTTTTTAGGGAACAATTCAGGAACCTCCTTATTTACCCTACTCCAGTCTGCTGGGCCATTGCTCAGGAGTGAAGTACACAAAAAATAAAAGGAAAAAAGCCCTCAATTATGCCTTTTATTAAAAACAAATACCAAAAAGATAAATAAATAAAATAAAAATTATAAAATAGGTAATGCACATGTCTTAATGTATGATATAGTCTTTTCACAGAGAACAGAGAGAACTCCTGTCACAAAATTAGGGGGAAAGGCAATTTTCTATAATGTGAATGTTTTTCTAATAGATATGTTTATAAGAATGGAGGCAAATTATTATAACTATTACCAGGTGACCAAAAACTTTGAAAAAGAACAGATGTGGGTTGTTGGGGTTTTTTGTTTGTTTGTTTGTTTTTTTGGAAAGGAGGTAGGTAGAGCCAAGAACAAGCATGGAATTGTTACAACTCCAGGGCTCTTTCACAGAGTGTTACAGCCAAACACACAAACTCCTGTTCCCTTCCCTCTTAATTTCTGGCCCAAATTCATGGTATTAACTTTATAAAAAGGCTCTCTCTGCCTCAAAGTTGTTTTACTAACATTACCTTATAAATATGGCATAAATAAATCTCCATAAGAAATGCCACTTCAAAATGATTTACACCACCAATAGCTTGCACAAATCCACAGTGGGGGCTCAGGGAGGACTCTTGCACTAAAGGCAGTCCAAATCCTCTCTCCGAGATAGGACTGTTCTCAGACCTGTTTCTTCCAGAGCATTTTTCCTAGGCTGAGAGGAGAAATGGGAGAGGTAGACAGTCACTAGGGAGACAATCTGAGTTGTCTTAGAGTTAGCAATGAGGCAGTTTAGTATATCTGCCTTTCTTGAATATATTTAAAATTATTGTTCAGGCATAGGCTGGCCTGTTATTGTCTTTGTGGTATACAGTCGATTCCAGACAAATGTAGAATGTCTTACTTAAAATATAGGTAAAGTTTATTACATGTGAACCCCTCCCAAAAGTTAATATGCAAAGAGAAGATAATAGTGTCATAAGTATATTCTTATTGTGAATGACAAAGGAGCTATGCAATAAACCTAACAAGCTCAGGAGGGCCATAGGGCAGGCCCGACAAGCTCAGTGGCCAAAAGTAACTACACAGGATGGTCTGATCACAAATTCCTAACTGGGCAGGTCATAGCATGCAGTCACATCCCAGGCCTATGACTTCCTTAGCAAAGGTTAACCTTTACCTCAAGTAAGATCTGTCCATTTTTCTTACACATCTAGGATAACGTACCTTAGAAATGTCAGAACAATTTTCTTTCCTACCCCTCAAAGGCACAACTGCTGGCACCAGAGCGTAAGACCACAGAGCACGAGACCATAGAACCCCTCATTATCTTGTTCCCCAAATACCATCTCTATGTGCTGTAAAATGTTAATTATTAACTATCCTGTACCCATCAATGTAAAAGAAGTATGCGTTTCTCCATTTTGCCTTTTATCCCCTCCTAGAGATTTCCCCAATTGGATTTCTCCCACCTCCTTAATCTACCACCAGTGGATTTTATACACCTTCCTACATCTCCTCCCTTGATTCTAACATATAAACTAAGCTGCAAAACTGCCATTCTCTGAAGCATTTGAGATCTTGCTCCCGTCATATGTTGTCAGTTTGGTTCAAATAAATTCATAAAGATTCTCAACAGGTTTGGATGTTTCTTATGTCAACATTATCTACTTTCAAAATACTCTTCCTAAAGTCTCTAGGAAACAGGTTTGCACACGTCAAATAAGCAGTTCAGTAGTGCTGACTGAGTATCTGACTGCATCACCATGCTTACTGCATGGGGGTCCTACAACGATGTTTTCCATTCGCTCTACACCTGAAAAGTCTCTGGCTGCCCATTAACTCTACCACTATCTCTTAACAATTTCAAACTAAAAGACGCTTGTGCAATCAGAATGATTTTTCAATCCCTCCTCATCACCCACACCCACCTCCCTCCCAGTAAGGGAGCCGCTAAGAACATGGCATGGGTTGATGGGGGAGGGAGTGGTGGTGGTGGTGGGGAGGTGCCCTCTCAGTGACAAAGGGGGAAGGACAGGGAACAGCAAGACCAAGTCAACAAGGAGAGGAAACAGCCTGGCCTAGATAATGAACAGATGATGAACACCTGTGCCCAAAGAGGTTCTGAAAGCAACTAAATAATGCACAGTCTAGCTCTAAAGATAAAAACCAAGCAAAAATGAAACTTTTTCTCACATACCCTCAAGAACCCTGACAGTAACTCACATTTACAGAGCCAAGGATCTTTTTAAATATTTGCAGATATTGCTACAAATATTTAAGATCCAATTATTAAATCCAAATATTAAATATCCAATTCGTAGGGGGTTAACTTGACACCAAAATTTTTTGAAAGTTAAATCACCTTTTGTAGTCAGGAAAAAACATATCTAAGCAAGCGGTTTGCTTTCCTCAAATATAAAAGTAACAGGAAGAGAGCTACTTCTGAAATCCAAAGTTAAAGTAAAACTGAAAGGATCTTCACAGAGCAGTTTAGAAGATGTGTAGGAAATACAGGAAACAGCCCAGGGAGGGGGCCTGTGAGCTGATTAACAGGGGCATGAATTAATTCTTTAGTAACAACAACTTGAAAAGATGAATATGGGTTAAAAATAGCCTGACTTTGTAGGAGCATTACTCATCATAAGACTCCCTGCAAACTCTTGAGCCAACCAATTATGCAGCTTCTAAATTAATTTTGTAGTTTGTCTATTTCAACTGTCATAGAAATAACTACTAGATGTTTTAGTTATGCACAAATGCTATGGAATTTTCCTGAGTAATTTTACATCAGGGTGCATATTTTGAACCACTTTAGCTAAAACTGAAAGTTGAACAGAAGCAAAGAAATACACTCACTTGTCAAACTCATCAAATAGGTCACAGCTCTGCAGTTTTGAAAGAGCAAGTCGGAAATATTCCGCTGGAAAACAAATGGAGTATTGTGACTAAAAGGAATCATGGTTTCTTAGGTACATAGTAAGCCACCTTACCCCCATCCTTCCCCAAACCCACTTCCAACTGGTATGGCCACATTTGATTTCTTCTGTGATGAAAATTCATGACACCACTGCAATTAGCTAACACTACTTAATAGGCACACTCAAAATGATAAATGCTCTAAGGGCATGTTCCAAAACCCCAGAAAAATAAGAAGCTTAGTCTGAAAACAATCATAAAAAAGTGACCCCAAAATTAACAATATCAGATGATTCTGAAATTGACATCAGTATAAGACTCAATGTTCAGAGAATATTGAATTATTAAATTCTCTGCAATATATTTTTAAGACACACACAGGCATACACACAATCAGTTAAATAAGTAAACTCTAACTTCATAAAACTATAGGTTTGTCACCTTCTGAGCTTTTAGAGTGTCTCAAAAGTTGAGAACACAAAGCTGTGTAAGGTCAATCAGGCGTCAAGCAGAGGAAAAGGTGTTTCATCGTTAGTGTACGGAATAATTCTCTCTAAATTTAGCAAAAATAAAATATCCACTGATTAAACTTTAAAAATTGGTCAAGGAGCTAGAACTTGCTGATGAAATAAAATAAAACTCACAGGTCAAGAGGTGAAATGGGAGATCAAAAGGAAGGTAACTCACAGGGTTATCCTGCTAATTCTGAATTGGAATAAGGTAAGGCATCAGAACTCATTAATAATATGGTGGCAAAACCAAAGTAAAAAGCAGTGTCTTAACAACAACAAAGAATCTACCATTTTTATGCTTTTATTCTACACTGCCTCAAAAGGAGTTATATATTAAAATCAATTCCCTTCAACCCATCCTAAAAGCATATTTTTTAGGAATCACTTATGAAGCAGAATGATTAAAAGGCCTTAAAATTATATAAACATATGGTTCACATCAAACCCACTCATATTTAATACAGCAGGGCAAGAATAATATTACTGACCTGATGTTCTTATCCCATAGGGCAAATCAAACTTGTCACTATCATACAAGGAAGCGACCTTTTTAAAATCAGCTGCACAAAGAAAAGGGTGAAACTGATGAAATCTGGAAGAAAAGGATAAAAAATTATTTTCCCAAATGCCTACAACACTTGCAGGCTTTTAAAGTCACAACTGAAAAATAAATGTAGTATAGTATTCATAATTTTATGTTGAATATATGAATGTATAATTATTTCTAAAATTCTTTAAAATCATCTTAAACAATATTCAAGTATTATATAGAATAGAATATGCAAAGGAACTATAGCCAGAATGAAAACACTTTCCAGGTGGTGGAACCAAAATTATGTAACGGTTTTGGGGGGGAGGGGCTGGGAGAACAAAATTTAAAAGCAAACCAACACCAAGTGATAAAATGTTAGCCATATAGAGGAATAAACAAAGGAAGTAATAGGGGAAAATAAAAGTATTGATGCTAAGCCACTCCTAAATGAAAAGATACCACATGTAGGCAGTTGTGGGCTGTAAAAATAAAAAGTACATTAAAATTAGATGTAGCTAGGGGGCAGCTGGGTGGCTCAGTTGTTTAGAGTGTGTGCTCTGAACAACAAGGTTGCCGGTTCGATTCCCGCATGGGATGGTGGGCTGTGCCTTCTGCAACTAGATTGAAAACGGCGACTGGACTTGGAGCTGAGCTGTACCCCGCACAACTGAGATTGAAGGACAACTCGGAGCTGATGGGTCCTGGAAACAAAACACCGTTAATCCAATAATTTTTTTTAAAAATTCGATGTAGCTAGAACTCCTAGTGTCATTAAATTATGATTTACTCAAGAACAAGAACAATGGGCATTTATCCTCTTACTGCCTGATCTGTCCTGAAGGAACTCCCCCATTCAGGTATCCTCGCAGACGAGAGAGAAAGTTTGGTGAGGGTAGGGTGTGCCTCTGGTTCTTCTCACTTTTAGTGCCTGGCACAGCATAGGCTGGCAACATATGTTTAATAAATGATTGAATGAATTTCAACTCCAAATTAATTCTTTATGCAACCATGATGAAATAGAAAAATATAAAAGTTTTTTGGTTTTTTTTTTTAATTAAAGAGAAGGTAAAGCTCATATTAAAATATTATTTTTATCTACCATGAATGGATGCTACAGAGCAAATTAAGTGAACATTTACCCCAAACTCCACATAGGGCCCCATCTTTTTGGTTTTATCAGTTTTGCCCTTTCCTTAGTCTAAAAACTGCGGAGTGTCCCTGAGGTTTCAGAGGCTGCATGACAGAATGGAAATCAGCAGCAATAGAGTAGGGGCGAGCCAGCTGCAGTTTTACCCTGACTTGGCCACTCAGGAGCCAGGCCTTAACTATGGGCAAGTCACAGGAGCTTACGATCGTCAGAGCTGAGCTAAAGATTCACACATATTCAGACTAAGGAAACAAGTGAGGGACCAGCCCTTCCTGCATGAGACATGTTTTCCAGACACAGTTGTTACAGTGGTTAGCAGCCTCAGGAATCCAGTCAATCTCCAAAGGCCATTTAGATATTAGAGGTGATACCCAAGTTCAGGATCTGCTCTGGGAAAGAGGAAGTGTCAGGTCACCTCACTTAAGATTGAGAGGAGACTCGAGATCTTCCCATCTTCCTTGGGAAGGTGAACCATTGATGACTTTGCACTCTGAGGGCAAAACAATAAAGAACTCTGTTCTTTGGAGTTGGTGGGGTGATGATGGTGACCAATCGCTAATGTCTATTGCTAGTCCAACCTTGTGCTAGATGACTTATATTTTCTTCCTAAATGAAATAATTGTTTAGCACCACGTCTCACACACAATCAGGGCTCAATAAGTACCAGCCTTACTGTATATTACATTGTATTATATTACCATGTATTATATAATTATAATGTATCACATCACATTTCTGCTGTTGTTACACCTACAAAAACCTGGAAAAGTAGGTCAAATCTGTTAATCAATTTAGACAAAGCAACTGAAGCTATGAGAAGTGAAGTAACTATTCAGTATTATATGGAGTCGCTAACCCATATCTGACAAAGCTGAAGTCCACACTGAAGCTTTACTCTAAGGACAGGTGTCCTCTTTACAGCATTGCAGGTAACACCTCCAAGTTTCCCAGGAGAGTTCCTGATTGTTACTGACAGGAAAGATAGCCCTGCCCCCAAAGAATACTATTCACATGACAGATGTGAATCTACTTGTCACTTAAACTGTAAACTCTCCATACCTGCTGAGCAATGTTACATAAATACTTTAACCCTTTTGGGTTTTCTCAAAAAGAAAT